GGCACATAACAACAACAACAACATGTATGTAAAAGGTATAATTAGTTGTAATTTGAAAAGAAACGAAATTTGGGCTTTTCACATATTGAATAGAACATGGTAATTCCTCAGAAGGCTTAATATTTTCCTTCCTACTGCCATACTAAGTTTCTTTTTCAGAATAATTAGAACAGCTAAAGAGAGCAAAGCGTGATTGGTGTGTTGTAAAGGAGTTCATGGTGAGAAAGAAATAACTAACAGACTTAATTCTTTACCTCAGAATTTATAGGAAAAAATACTAAGAAATCTAAGAATGGTAAACCACTAAAATCTGATAAAATTTTGTTAAAAACGTGTCATAACTTTTACTGTCTGTGATATCAAAGAAGATGATGTAAGTCACTACTCTATTTTTGATAGACTGATTTTCATCAGTCAAGGTTTATAACCATCAGCTTAAGCTATTTGTAAGAACAGTTGAAGTTTCTAGAGAGCTACACCATTGTTTGAGCTCTTTTCTGTTTATTACACAGTCATGAATTGATCTTGAGGGAATAATAATCATGACTATACCTAAGGACTTAGTTAGAAAGCATTACTAGGAATAGTAAAAGAAAGAATTAATTGAAAAAAGAGAGAAAAAGAAACCACCTAAATAATAATGCTGCTGCTATCGTTATTATTGTTGTTGTTGTTGTTATATGCTGTCAGGTCACCTGAAACTCATAATGATCCTGTGTACAACAGCCCTAAACCCTGCTCTATCCTGTGCCAGTCTCACTGTCTCCAGCACAACTACCCTAATTACCCCAGTCACTGAATCAATCCATCTCATAGAGGGTCTTCCTCTTCTGTGCTGTCTGTCCCTCCCCCTCCCAAGCATGATGTCCTTCTCCAAGGATTGGACCCTCCTTGCAATATGCCTAAAGTATGTCAGATGAAGCTTTAGAATCCTTGCCTCCAAGGAGCAGCCAGGTTTAACTCTCTCCAGGACAAACCTGTTCATTTTCTTAGCATTCCATGGTATATTCAGAACTCTTCTCCAACACCACAGCTCAAAGGCATCAATTCTCCTATCCTCCCTATTCATTGTACAGCTGACGCATAGAAAATGATTACAAAGACAATGGCCTGTATCAAGCATACCTTAGTCTCCAGAGTGATACCATTGCTCTTCAGTACTTTGGAGAGGTCCCTAACAGCAGACTTTCTCATCACAATACGCCTTTCAATTTCCTGGCTGCTGGTGCCGAGAGTGTTGACTGTGGAGCCAAGCAAACTAAAGCTGTGAACAATCTCAATCTTTTCACCATCCATCCTGACACTGCCAATTGATGAGAATCTTTGTTCTTGATACTGAGCCTCAGTCTATATCGAAGGCTGTAGTCCTTGACCTTCTTCAGCAAGCACTTCAGATTCCCCGCAGTTTCAGCAAGCAGGGTTGTGTCATCTGCATAACACAGATTGTTGATGAATCTTCCTCCAATCCTGATGCCACA